TTAGTAATGTCCAGAATTTGTAACCTCCTGGTGGCTTTTCCTTTGCCTAAGCCAAACGAACTGGCTATTTCTTAGCAGACAGGATGGTTTAGAGTCCTACCCTGTGACTTTTCACAGACTTTCCATTAAATGAATAGGGAGATGGAACTACCTTACGCTTCCTGGAACTGACAATTTCAAAGCACAGTTGAGTCACAGTGAGAGGAGCAGTGGTACAGAGCCCTCCTCCTCCCTGCCAGACTTACTCATTAGGGGCTTTCATTTTCCACACCAGCTAGGAAGCCAACATATTTTATGACAATTAAACTAATCCTAACAAGAGGACATTGAAAAATGAAGCTCTGAACTATGTCTGAACAGTGAATACTGTGTGAACCCTGACATAGATACGTGTCAATCTATAGCTCAGATCAGCTTCTGTTTATTTCTTCATATTGATGCTACCTACTAGAAGAAAAAAAGTCCTGACATTTTCCACAAAATATTTAAATGCTAGTTTGTACTGCTTAACTGTGTACTGTTCTGTGTCAGGCTTTTCTGTAGAAATACAATTCTGTACTGAGAAATACATCTGCACCTTACAATCCAATCACTGTTGGCTTTTTCAAGTAAAAACCTTATTCTGTTAAGTGGTTAGCATGCTGGATTACTGTAATAATTTTAACTGCTGGAAAGAGCTGTTGATTTTACTATGATGCACAAGCAGCTTAAAAATTACTTTTACCATAGTTGTTTTTTACTATAAATAGTACTTTCATCGTATACATTAAAAAGTCAAAAAGCATGATTTGTGATAATCCCTTTCATGACTTGGAGGAAGTCACTTTACCTTTTGCTATCTTTGTTTCTCAAGATTCAAACAGGGAGGAATGATAACTATCTTTCCAAGAAGGTTTATTGATTTGTATACAAAAAAAAACCCAGCCCAAAGCCATTATACAAGAGCTCTTAGTTGTTAACTAGTAGTTAAAAAACTTCTGTTAGGACCTACTTGTTCCAAGACAAGTTGAAATATATGCGTGTGTATATATGCACTTAAAAGTTCATCAGTAAAGAAAGGAATGGCCTTTGAGTAACAATTTGATTTAAAACATTGCTTAACCTAGGGACACAGGGCTTCTTTCACTGTCTCTTCAGAAATCTAAGTATTGTTCTTTCCCCCACACTAAGCATTCCTCAGATATTTAACATCTGTGGAAATTCTAATATCCCAAGATCTACAGCATCCCTACAGCAACAAGTGTACGGAAACTCCATTTTTAATCTGTGTGTTCCATGAACCAGAACCTTGGGAACAGCCACCACCAGGAGCAGGCTCTGTTATCTGTAACATACTTACAGCATACGGTACGTCAGTATATTCAGGGTATTAGAAAAAAATTGAGAGCTGACTTGCCTTGAAGTGAAATATAATAAACTGAAAGAGTGTCTCAGACACTTTCAGATGCTAACAAATGTTCCTGTTCTTATTCAGAGATAAGAATAGATCTGCCTGAACTCTGAGGGTTGGTTTACATTTCTTGCTCACTCCAGTACTTAAAAGTTGTCATATCAAGCTCTTATTGCACTGATAGAAACTTGCTTGTCCTTCTTTAATGAAGTACAGTACTGTATTTGTAGTATTAGCCTAATGAAATTTTAAAATGAAATTAGATGGAATACAATTAACACCAGATTTTCATTAATATCCTGAATCATGAATAGAAGCATGTCTAGACTTAAATACAAACCATGTTTTAAAGCAAAATTCAAATCCACCTCCATTCCCTGCCAAAGCCTAAGTTCAGTCCTTGAGGGTCTGAGCAGGGTTTCCTTAGCTACAGCAGTTGGCATCAACAGTGCTGATGGTAGGCCAGGGAGTGCCACTCTTGGGCTCAAAGAACTGGGTGATTTCATCAGCTAGCACAGGTCTTGACAGATGCAAAGCCTTTCATTTAATGTTAAGGACTATGAAACCCTTGGTGCATGATTTAGAAAACTCGGAACTAACGTTTTTATCCAGGAAGTGAAAATCAGATCTTTTCCCAAGTGTAATCCTGTAGATCTCTTTCAATGCATGTCTTCTAAACACAGAAATAACTTTTGCTGTGAAAAGAGTTCTTGATGCATGCTAAATTTGCCAGACATTTCACTTCGAGACAAAGTTATGACAAATGTGCTTCCTAGCATTTTCATGTTGATTTATTCTTCCTCACAAAAGACAACTTCATAAAAAGCTTGAATCAGATTCATGTTCACACTTTACATATGCAACGTTTTCGTGGCTGACAAAGTTGGCTTCACATGCAAACTAACTTGGAAATAAAGTCAAACCATGCTGAGACTGCTATACTTCAGCAGCTATTTTCTTCCAACTAATCATCATTATTATTATGACTAGATATTTACCCTTAGGTGCATTGGGCAGATCATTGTGACTCATCCATTTAGTGGATGTTGTCCTGTTGGGTTAATGATTATCTTTTTTGTCTGAAAGATTTGTTAATTCCTGTAACTGCACAGGATAGCTATTTTAGTACTTAGCCAGTGACCTCAATGCTGACATAACCTTTCTGGTATTATTAGTTGTAGCTTGGGTCATGACATTAATGTGAATTATGGCTGTCTTGAGGATACAAGCCTTCATATAGCACAAACAGTCTGTAGGGAAAAGAAAATGTAATGATGGTCTGCACATCACACATTCAGTTTTCCCTTGCATACAATTTCCATTATCATTGCTTCATTCTCTTAGACACGTTTTAATCAAGCACCTAGGGCATCATTTTTTGTACAGACTGTGCTCTATAATAAAGACTATAACAGGGGATTTTGGAAAATGCTTCTGCTACAAGCATTATCACGCTGTCTTGTTGGCCTCCTCCAAACTTGCTTAGCAATATATCACCCTTACTTCCAGAGAGCTGAATTTTTTACTTCTTTGAAAGAACAATGAAAGCTGTGTAAGCTCATTAGCAAAGCATGTGTGTAGGCTTAAAATTACAGGTAATAGACAAATGGTTGGAAAGTCAGTAATCCCTTTACATATTTGCCAAAACTTAGGTCAAGGTCCAGGGTTTCCTTTCTTCAAACCAGTGAAATGAGATATACATCCAGGTGTTCTGGGGAGTGCTGGCAGCGCACATGCAACACAGGTGATGAGCCACAGTTGACATCAGTCGTTTTCTCTTTTGTCTAAATTGCACTCAGTTGTAAAGGGCTTTTCTTTTTGCATCAGTATTTTGTACAAGACGATCCTTTCATTTAATAGGTCTTGCTGTTTCTTATGCACTCGCATAACTGTTATTTTTAACATTACACTAAATTAATCATAGGAAGTATTGATGTCACAACTCTGGCTCCTCATGTCAGTGAAATAAACAGTTAATATATAGGAAAATATTCATTTGCTTAAGAGTAATCATAAAAAAATATTACTGTCTTTCCACTTGAAGCCCAGTCCTTGTATGTCCCATCTGTATCTGTGTAAACATTTGCAAGAAGCAAAGTGACACAAATGTGTGTAAGGAGTTTGAAAAGCTGGTGCACATATAATTAACTTGGAGTGCAATCAGGTATTTTACAGGAAAATTCATCAAAAGGATGATTTTTACCCGTATCATCAGCTCTTTATTCATGAACATAGTTCTTCGCTTTTTACTGGTAACAAAGTCACAGACTTTAAATCCAGATCCTCAGGATTAAATCATGAACAGGTTGTGAGGATGGGTGCAGTTGTATGTCTATGCCCCACCAGCCTGGGGATGTTGAGGCAGCAGTGGGAGCAAAATCTACTCTCACCCTTAAGTGCACCATTTCTGATGTGAAAGGCGGGCACTACCCACGAAGGTGGTTGCGTTGCCTTGACAAATGTATCCATTGCTGGCTGGATGAGAGTGTCAATAAGCAAGCAGCGCTATTTGAGATGCTAAACGTATGACATAGGCACATTGCCACCACTGCCCACAGTGAGACCACTGACTGACTGTGTGTGGACTACCCCAGAGCAGTGTGACAGCCTCTCCCCTGGCCACTGCACCGCAGGTGATCTGAGTATGTTATGGTCCTACCAAATACTTTTATATATATATATATATTTTTTTTATATATATATATAAATATATATATATAAATACATAAAAATCTTGGAACTATATGCATAATGTCTTTTATATATGGAATGCATTAAGATAGCTTTCATATTGTTTCATCAAAATGAAATGCATTTTCCTCCTTTAAATATCTCAGCATCATTGCAGGTGAAGTTATTTTTTTATTCTTGTATTTTTTTATTGTCACAGTTTGTCATCACAGCTGATGTTTATAAAGAATTATGCTCTTTGTGTACAAATGTGTGTCTTCCTTGCTACTCCATGTTAGAGAAAGCAGCAGAAAATGTTATGTGCATCTGGGGGCTGCAATAATTTGTCCTTTTGACACTGACTTGATTTTACACATTTTTCAGGGGACAGAAATGGAATGTGTGCCATGTCAAATTTCAGTATCTCTTTTAGGCACATGACATCCCCTCGATCAAAAAAAAAGTGTGTGAATATGATGTCTGACATGGAACAATCCCAAAGCAATACCTATTTAAGATTTCAAGCCATAACAAGTCTAGCTTAAGTCACATTTTGTAGATAAGCGTTTATGCATCTGGCAGTGGAATTGTGTCCTGAATAAGCAATGTTTAAAATAAAGACATAATGGTCTTAAGAGATTAACAGTGTAAGAGAGTCCATCTTCACGTTACAGAACAATGTGTTTTCTTTATTTTTATCAGGATTTTTGCTTAGATACTGAAGTAATGCACACACAAGCAAATTTCGAAGGCATACAGAGTTGGAGCCTGAGCAGAACCTTAAAGAGATATCAAACCATCCTGTTTTCAAATTCAGCTCTGCTTCATGTCATAGAGCAAAGTGTCTAATAAAGGCACAGTGACAATTTTGTATGTCATTACTTCAAAGCATAACAGTAAATTTAATATAATTCTTGTTTTTTCCTGTTTTATTAACCAGTTAATTCAGGTGATGGGATAGAATACAGCCAGCAGAAGCGTGAAAACATTGGAGATCTGATTCAAGAGACACTGGAAGCCTTTGAACGCTGCGGTGGAGAAAACGCATTTATAAACATTAAATACATGATCCCTACTTACCAGTCATGCATATTAAACTGAGCTGTATCAAATGGAATGATTCCATTTGTATTCTAAAAAAAACTGTGTCTGACTCTCTATGGCATCTTGTTAGTCATGCTTTTTTTCTCTACAGCTGCTAAAATAGTGGCTTCTGGGGCATTAAAGTGTTAGCACTATTGTGAGCAAGGCTTTCCAATAGATAAATAGTGCCTGTTCCTCTGATTACAATGGTGTACTGTGCTTGTTTGTTCCCTGAAAGAATTGCTCCCTTATAACAGAGCTGACTCGAGCAGGAATCGAAGTTAAACCTTCACTTGTATAGACAATAAAACTATAATTTTCATACGCGATTCAGCAATTGCTGTTCTGTGTCCGCTTGCCCTGAGGGTGATGTCAGAGGCTATAACAAGAAGAGTTTATGCTGACTGCTTAATAGGTGTTTGTCATCGAAGAGAAACACCAGTTCAGCAATGCCTCTCTAGCAGCTGTGCCGAATAATGTGCGCTGACATCATACAATAAAACTGTTGAATGTATATAGCAATTACAGCAGGAAAATATATACGGCCCATTATAAAGCACTGCCATTAAATTAATCAATGTTTCTTACACGCTCCTCATCTCAGCTTCCAGGTGTTTACCTTTTCATGGAACTTCAGTTCCTCCTGGCAAATATCAGGCACAACTATAGTTCTGAAGACAAGAAGCCCAGAAAGAACTTGAATAAATCAGAAGAAAATGCAGAGTACATAACGTATCAGTCCCTACAAACACTGTTCATCTGGGAAAACACAGAATATACACATATATTTTTAAAGGACACTGGGTATTTTTTGTAACTGCAAGGTTGCTATTGCTTTTCTGTTATTATTATTATGCTATATATGTGTACAAACAATATACAAACTATTGTTACAGAAATCCTTACAATTTCCTACTCAGTTAATTTCTCTCTGCATAACCACCACATGGAAATGATGTAATTATGGATTAAGGCAAGGCTATTGAGATTCACTTTATTGCTTTTAAAGCATTTCTATGGAATAAACCTACAAAAAAAATAAACCAAGTTTTACAATTCTCAAGGACAACTATTTAAAAATACAAAGTCAGCTCAAAAGCAGGAGATAAGAGCTTTGTCTGAAACGCCTGAGATTCTTAAAAGTAGACTTTGGGCTCATTTTGCTTTTATTCTGGTTTCTGGAAGCTCTTAAAATATATGCAAGTTGCACTTTCAAGTGTTTCTCTGTAACTGTTAGAGCTCAAAATGCACTCTTTGGTGTTAGACTCATGAGCCTTTTCCAAGTGCTTTTCCACATCCATATTCACACCCTAAAAGGCTTGCCCGTGTGAGAGACAGCTCCTGCAATGCTGTGTGTTCTCTTGAGTGCATACTGGAAGCGTGGGGAGCACCTTCCCACCTGCTACGTTGAGCTGGATCTGTTGTTAGACTTGCCTTTTTCTGTCCCATGGGATCTTCAGCCTGCAGATTATTATTTTTTTTTTATTATTATTTCTTCTCTTTCCTATAATCGAAAAAAAAAACCCACAAAACAACCCAACAAATCCAACCAACAAAAGCTAAGGGGAAAATATTTCCTCCTCCCACCTCTTTGAGGAACTACAGCATCCAGTGATGCCGCTGGCCACAAGTGCTCACCAGTCCTTGGTTTAGGCATGGCTGCTGCAAGTGTACCCTTTTCCCAGGCTTTCTAATTGTTTTTTCGTTTTTTCTGAGTGTTCTTTCACACATCACCAGGACTTCCCTCAAGTCCCTAGAGCTTAGGCAGTGTCTATCCTATGACTAACACACACCTGGATGTATGAGCCCATCCAATACGCTGCCTCACATCTAGGGTATCTGTAAATCTTTCACCTCCCAGGCAGACAGGCAGGTGAATCTTGGCTGTAGGCCCATGTCTGAGGAAACTCAAGAGCTTTGTCTTCAAATTTGCTGCGCAAAGTCTAGCAGGATATGCAGGGAGGCTAAGACCACATCTTGTCACAGCCATGCTGGCACTAACAGCACAAACTTTGCTTACAGTTTCTCCCCATTTCCCTTCAACAGACCCCTGTTCTGGACTGTCCCTGGCACCAGTGAGCCATAATTTTTAATTTACTGGCAACTGTGGATTTGGTTACTGTGGCATTGCACGTTTCTCAGGAGTACAGAGTGTGCTGGAGGGCTGCTGCTTGGAGTGAGCCGAGTTATTCAGCTCAGAAACAAATGAAGCCCTTCATAAAAGGAAAAATCCCAGGCCACCTTTCACAATTTAGCTATTTGTATTCTGTCCTTAAAAGAAAGTCCAGTACACTCTTTGCCTGAGATCAAAAAATGTCCTCAATAGCTGGCTTCAGCTCCCTCGCCACCAGGCTCCAGCCACAGAGCTGCTCACAGAAAGGACAGTGCGGGAAACGCTCTTGTTCCTGGGATTTCCCCATCCTGTCAACCCTCTGCATCCCATCAACGCTGCCAAGGATGAGATGAAGTTTCAGGCTTCTCACCAGCTTTGTAACTCTCTTCCCTGAGTCACTGTTTTTGCACCCTCTGCACTTCAGCTCGACTAGGACAAGACTACAGGCTGACAGACATCAGATAATGGGTACTTCGTGCAGCTGCAGGCTTGTCCAGACCTGATCCCTTCAGCCCTGTGCTCACTCTTGAAGATTTCTTTCACAAGATGTTGTCTCAACAAGGAGGACCTTATTGCAAACCATAAGGGCAATAGAGGTTATGCCTATTCACATCAGGAAAAATAGGTTTTACAGCTAAGTACTTTTGCTTGCATGTTCAGGATGGGAACACTAGTCTCTACCATACTATTTCTTTGCCTGGACTGTTGCTTTAAAAGTGAACATTCTCCAATAACCTTATTAATTCTAGGAGCTGGACTGATAAAAAGAAGCATGATAAAAACCACAGGCTGGTAATTTAGGAACACTGAGAATAAAACTATTTTAAGATGTCATTTTACTAAGCCAAACTGTAGGTCTGCCAACCTTGACAGTGTCCCTTTAAGCATGATCAGCAGCATATTTATAGGCAATTACAGCACAGCTCAGAGCACTTTATAAAGCACAAGATCAAGGACCTGGGTGCTTAAGCATATGAGTAATAATACTATGTCATTCAATACACTGCTTAGCTATTTTACTATGCTCAAAAAATGGAATTGTGGTTAAAAGATAGTAACTGCCTCTCTTTTCACTAGATGGTATAATTGTGGTCACTGACACTAGGGGCAAGCCAATCAACAGTTTCTAATTGCAATCAATTAAAAGGCACTCTAGGCCAGCTGTTTCAAGGGATATAAATTAAGCATAATGCCAGTAAGTGTAACTTGGCTTTACAGAATTGATGAGATTTGTGCAAGTGACTGCAAGGTAAGGAGTGTCAGTTAAAGGAATCTGCGTCATAGGTGCTGGCTGTATGAAACCAAGTGTTTGAGATGTCTCTAGTTTATGTTGATAAACACATTAGGCAGGCTGCCCAGTAGCTGTTTAGCTTGAAGAATAGAAAGCATATGCTAATGTTAAGGGGAGAGAAAAAAAGACTACCTGTGGCTGTCTTTGTCTTCATAATCATCAAAAGAGGAAGGAAGCAAATCTTTTTAATGATTCTTCCCCAGAGCTGTGTAAGGGACCTCCGTATCAAGTGTCATTGCTTTGGGAATTCTGGCACTTGTGAACGTTGGTGGGCACTACAAAGCTATCTCTGTGCAAGCTGCTGGGCCGCGGATTGGTACAATTTATCTGTGTGAAGATGAGCAGGGAAGGAGGTGACTGCAACTCCTGCCCAACTTGGGCCAGGAGGCTCCTGTGGAAGGACTGAGCTTGGCAGAGGATGGGGCAAGCTGCTGCCAGGACTGGCAGTAGGGAGCTGGAGCCAGGCTTCTCGCTGGTAGCTTTCCAGTGTTTCAAAGAGTTGGAGCTAACAAAGAGTTTGAAAAGGGCCTCCCGGGAGTCAAAAACAAAAGGGTTATGGGAAGCTGCAAGTATGAGAAAAGGTAGGGGACCCTGGCTGGTCGGGGTGCGGGGAGGTGTAAGCCTCAGCCAAGCAGGGCGATAAAAAAAGCTAGGGCAGACACTATGTGCTTTCCTAATCCTGTCTGGAGACCCTCTGACTTCCAGAAAAGCATTCTCCAATCTGAGGGGCTCTGCAAGCAGTGGGGCAGTTCACATTTTTCCACTCATCTGTAACATCCTGTGTTTTCTGCTTTAAATAAAAGCAGTGATGTTTGCGGGAACTCTGTACAAAGCCTGTCTGCTTGCAACCGCTCGGAGCCGCTTTGTGCCTCCTGGAGACCGGGTGAGGAAGGTTCATGCCCTGGCAGGACAAGAAGTTCCCTGCACAGCCCCATAATCCTTCCGGCGCTGGGGGGGGGGAGGGAAGGGGAGTGTGTGTGGTGGGGCATATCTTAGCTGGGCTTGTTTTTGCCTAGCGAGTACAGCCTGGTTATGTCGGTGGGGCTCCTCACTGGGAGCTCTCCCCTGCTCAGGTCAATGTGTCCAGAGGGAGGAGTGGGCCACCCAGCCCCTCTGGGGCAGCTGGCGCCCTCCAGCATAGTCTCTGGTGAGGTGGGTGGAAGTCTGTCTGAGCTGAGGGGGAATGTTTGTGGCGAAGCTGGGGTCAGCTGTGTGTCGGGTGTCCCTTTTGTGATGACAGTTTGAGTTCCCCAAATCAATGAATACTTAAATTTTACCAACACTTGGGAGTGAGTCAGGCAGCAACAAACTGCGCAGCCCTTGCAAGCCACCGGTTCATCAGCCCCTGTGTTTTCCCCATGGTGGGGGCTGTGGCTGCCCCAGGACAGTGCAGTGTCAGCTGGAGCCATGGTGACCAGCACAGGCAGTAGCACTGCTGCCCTCTCTGTGCTTCCCCTTAGCAGCAGAAGGCCCTCATCTCTGCCACCCTGCTGTGGCACTTGCCAGCCAGGCCCATGCCCTGGGGCCCCTTCCTCTGGCAGAAAGGGAGGGCTGGTCAGGTATTTTGCTGACAGAGCCCCTCACATGAAGCAGAGTCCTCTCACTACAGAACAGGCACCCTCCTCATGGGGAAGGAAGTGCAGGGCCCAGCTGTACTGGTGTGGCCAGGGGCCTTTTGGAGCTGCACCCATGTGCACAGGAGCTCTCTGCAGCTCTGCATCTGCTGTGGCCTGCTGACCCTGGCTGCTGAGGGTGTGGGGTGAGGGGATGAAATGGGAACTAATACTGGTGCTTTATGAAAGCGAAGCTAAATCCCAGCCTCTGCTCCCTGCCTTAGTGAGGGTTGGTTAAATGCATTGAGGTAATGGGAAGAAAGGAGCCATCGAAACAGAAAATCGTAGTGTTGGGTGTCGTATGGCTGTCTT